ATTTTGGGCATTGGGTATTTTGTCTCAGCAATGAGACAAAAGTAACCAAGACAGAATTTGGTACCAGAGGAGTGGGGCTGTTGCTGTGACTATACCTGACCATGTGGTGCAAGAGCCTTTGGAAATGGCTTTTGGAAAGAGTTTGGAAAGGTTTGGAGATGTCAGCTTAAAGAGTAGAGCTGGAACACCTTTGGCTATAGGAGATTTTGGTATAGAAGATTCTGGTCAGAGCTCAGAAGACCAGAAGGCTGATAGAAATCCTGCCAGTAAAGAGTGGGTTCAGGAGGTTTCTGCTGGGAAGAAGGACTACATTGGTTGTTGGACACCAGATGATGTGTGTTAGGCTTGGCAGAAAGTTTGTCTGCGTTGTGCTCATGTCCAGATACTTTGCCTGACACTGAGATTAAGGCAGGTGGACTGATTAATCTGGCAGAAGAAATTTCAAGGCAGTTGAATGTTGAGGCAGTGGCATGGCTATTGTTGGGAGCTTTTAGCCAGATTTATGTTGAGAATCAAGAGCAAAGAGCCCAGGGGGAGGATTTAAAATGTTGTGAGTTAGGCCAGAAAGGAAGCTCCAGTAAAGCTGTGGACTGCAAAGACAAGGCTGAGGAGATCTCCATTGCTGAGAAGGAACAGGAGAATGGAAAAGATGGCCTGAGGGCATCACTAGAAGCAGCAAGTCTCCACCTTTTGCAGCCTCAAAACTGCAAAAGTGAAAGGCTTTGCTTTGAGAAGAAAGTAGCGGAGCACCATGTTCCAGAATAGTGGCGGCATAAAAAATTTAATCCTCAGAATCAGCTTCAGAGTACCCAGTGGTCCAGGCACTCGACCCCTATGGCCAAGACAGAAGAAAGCTTGGCTACTGCTCCAGGTGGCAGCAGACCTTGGCATCATTCACATGGTACTGGATTTAGGCACACACAGAATGCAAGAGTTCTGAGGTTAAGGAGGTTTCCACCTCAATTTCAGAAGAAGGCCTGGGAGGCGAGGCAGTGTGCCCCTGAGAGGGCAGTGTGTGAAGCTGTGAGTGTGAAGCAAGAGGCACAGTATAGACCTCAGAAGTTTGGAAAAGCCAGGAACATGGATTGTCTGAGAAAGGTTGCAAGGAGGGAGCAAAGTGGGCCTAAGAGAGAAGCCATGGGAGCCACAACCACTAGCAGTGCCATAGGGGTGGACTCACACAAGCCCTTTTGGAACTGACAATGTGCCACAGGTTTCTTACGATGTTCCACATGGAACTATAGGACTTAATGTTAGCCCTGCTGGATTTTGGACTTGCTTGGGTCCCATGCTCTGTATCCCTCTGTTTGTACCTTTTGGAGTGGTAATGTTTATCTTGTGCCACTGAATATTGGAAGTGTTTAACTTTTCATTTGTACAGGGGGCTCACAGCTAAGAGTTTCCTTTAAATCTCAGAGGATACTTGGGAGTTGGACTTTTCAGCATTGCTGAAACTGTCGGGACTTTGGCAACTCTTAGAGATGGACTAAAATGTCTTTTGCATAAAGGGATGTACATGCATCTTTGGAGTTCCAGGGGTAGAATGTTATGGTTTGTGTCTGGATGTCCCCCTAAAGCCTCATGCAGTCATGGGGTGGGCTTCTAGAGTTTATGATTGATTCATGGTCCAATGTTGGGATTATGGATGTGAGTGCTACACCTGCCCTGGGGCAGATAGTTTGCATATAATGTAAAGGAGGGAAAGAGGCTGCTTGCCTCTCTTGTACTCTTGCTGCTTTTGCTATCTTCTGCCACCATGAACCGTTGCCCTCTGCCATGTGCCACTCTGCCTTGGAGCCAGCCAAGTATGGACTGGAACCTCCACAAACTGTGAGCTAAATAAACCTTTCCTTCCTTAATTTTGGGTGTTGGGCATTTTGTCTCAGCAATGAGAGAAAAGTAACCAAGACAACCAGACAACAGAAAGACTTAAAAGACCCGTATCTGACCTGTCCCAGGGGTACCCACACTGGCCAAGGTGGGAGGAAAAGCAACAGTCTCCAAACAACCGCAAGCAAGCAATGAGTGCCACACACAATCCTCCAGTAACAAGAAAGCAGCCACCACTGGGTATGCTGGCCATGCCTGTAATCCTAGAACTCTGGGAAGTTGAGACAGGAGGGTTGAAAGCTTGATCCCAGCCAGGGCAACTTTAGAGACTTAGCAAGATCTTGTCTTAAGGAGGTAGACTGTGGGTTCAAGCCTTAGTACTCAAAAAAAGAAAAAAAAAAAAAAAAAAAAGAAAGAAAAGAAAAGAAAAGAAAAGAAAAAAGGTCACTATGATTGAGGATCAGCAGAAAAATGCCCAATGTCCATCCCACAATCGAGAAAGTGAAATTGCCAAATACTACAAAACAGGAAGAAGAAGAATGACCAATCAGCAAGGGACACTTGGACACGGAGAAGCCTGGAAAAACCAGGGAAAGGCAAGGCTCCCATCAGGAGGCTGCAGAGAGCAGTGGCTGGGGACGAGGAGGAGATGACTGAGTGCAGCTCAGGGACATGGGCAGCCATTTGAAAAGGACACGAGGTAAGATTAGGTACTCCAAGGTATTTTAAAGTTGTGACTCCAGAGGAGAAAATAGGAGGGATGCAAAAGAGTGCTTAAAGAGAAAACAGTGTAAACAGTACAGAAACCACTGCACATGGTAAACAGGACAGGGAAGGCCACTGCAGCCACCAGGTGCACAGAGGAGACCGGTGGGAAAGGCAGGCAGGCAGAAGGCTATCGGCTGGGACTGTGAGGCATTGAGAGCATTAACTGAAAGCCCGGGCTGTGGGTTCAGAATGAAGATGAAATGGAGACTCTTGCAGGCTGACAACAACAGAGAGCTTAACATCAAGAGACGGCCATGAAGGGATTTCCAGG